TGCGATGGTTGCTGCTGATGTGGCTGCACCGACCTTTGTGGTTGCTGGAGTCGATGTCCGCCTTGCTTCGATCCTGCAGCGGCTGATTTCCCCGCCTCGCCACCCCGGCCCATNGGGTGCTGGCTGTTGGGGCCGTGGAGCTGGCAGAAGTGCGATGGTTGCTGCTGATGTGGCTGCACCGACCTTTGTGGTTGCTGGAGTCGATGTCCGCCTTGCTTCGATCCTGCAGCGGCTGATTTCCCCGCCTCGCCACCCCGGCCCATGCCGGCAGCGACGAGGGCGTGCCTCATCTCTTCCTTCCCCTCTCCAGCTCTCCGCTCGTACCTCAGCTCGTGCTCTTCCAACCTCAGCATCTCCTGCATTGTAGCTCTCGACAACATCGTATCAAACAGAAGACGGTCTTTAGTTTTCTCAAACCTTGGGAGAAATCCCCGGACTTTGTGCCTGCACATCGACTTTTCATCCCTGTTATCACCATACGATCGAAGTCTCATCCACAGCGCAACTGCCCTACCGTAATAGTCCATAAGACTCTCTCCTTGCCTCTGGCCTATTACGTTCCATGCGTCATCAAGAGTTTGTCGCTCCTGACACTTGTCCTGGCTGTATTGTTCGAGAAACACGCGGTACCCTGCTTGAGGTGATTCTGATCTTCCCCTCCTGCCGCTCGCGCACCCCCTCGGTCTCGTGCATCGTTGACGAGGAAAGAATCGCTCCCTCCTCCGTGCGCGACGCCTTCCCCGGGGGGAGGGACAGCCTGACCTGATCCCCTCGGAGGCTGTCGTCCGTCTCCGTCCGGAAATGTTGCGCGCTTAGACACGGCGGCCACTCTCTTGATCGTTACTCTAGCGTGTTGAGTAGCTTTGTGCGTCGGTGCCTTGGCGCGCGGGGTCCCTTGGGTGGGAAATAAAAGAGCCAGCGGCGCGGTAGCCGCCAACGGTACAGTGTAGGAACTATGATGGGCGTGACAGCCTTCTACTTTGGGATGGAGCGTGATAGCTCGGGTATGGAATCTCTGGATGTGGCGTGGAAGCCTGGTGACGTGATAGTCGTGGTGTATATGTATAAGTAAGGACGTGGATGTCCGGAAGGCGTGATAGCCGGGTGGCGTGATAGCCAGGATTGGCGTGGAAGTCGTGGCGTGATCGCCGTGGTAGCGTGATAGCCGGGGAAAAAGGACTTGATTGCACACAGGAAGGAGGAAAAAGAGGAAACACAAACAAGTGAGAATCCACAACGCACAACCACCATATCCGTTGTAGACACACACATANGCGTGATAGCCAGGATTGGCGTGGAAGTCGTGGCGTGATCGCCGTGGTAGCGTGATAGCCGGGGAAAAAGGACTTGATTGCACACAGGAAGGAGGAAAAAGAGGAAACAAAAACAAGTGAGAATCCACAACGCACAATCACCATATCCGTTGTAGACACAAACAATCCCCCACCCTCAATCCTGTAAAATACGGCAAAGTTGGTACCATCAAATCGAATCCAAAGCAACTGCTGAACCCCCAAACTCCTCGCTCCATCTGCTCGGAAATTTCTTGCTTGCAATAATCTGTCGATGCTGTGAGTACGTCTCACAGACGCAAGAACACCACCAACGAATGCATCACCGCTGAGACGCTGGTCTGAGACCAGCTATGAAAACCAAGAGGGGCCGGGCCTTTACGACCTGTGCACCGTGGGTATACTGTAGGCATGCGCCATTTGTCACCCGGCGGGTATTTATTGATGTTGAGTGGGCCCAACCAACGGGCCAACTACTTCAAAAGAGTAGACCGATGATCACACAAATAACACACCTTCCCAAGTCCAGATAACACCTATCATCATCAAGAGAATCCGTCGGGGGGTTGAGGATCTACTACTACTGCTGCTGCTGTGTTTTGTCAGGATGGTTCCCCGCGGGATCGGTTCAGATTGCGTACTAGCGCCGCGCTACTGACTGCCTTCGCCAAGAAAGCCGTGCCCTGCATGCTGTTGTTGCTGCCGCAGCCCTGCAGGGCCTCTCGGCCTCTCGCATCAAAGTCATGATATGACCATCACGGTTTTTTGTTGTTTTTGGTTCATGCTGGACTGACTGCTTGCGTTCACTCTGGCGGGAAACTCGGAAGGCTTGAGACGAATGCGGCGGGCAAGTTGTGAGCCTGACGCAACATTTGCGATCTGTCGTGTCACAGTCGNACCCGGCGGGTATTTATTGATGTTGAGTGGGCCCAACCAACGGGCCAACTACTTCAAAAGAGTAGACCGATGATCACACAAATAACACACCTTCCCAAGTCCAGATAACACCTATCATCATCAAGAGAATCCGTCGGGGGGTTGAGGATCTACTACTACTGCTGCTGCTGTGTTTTGTCAGGATGGTTCCCCGCGGGATCGGTTCAGATTGCGTACTAGCGCCGCGCTACTGACTGCCTTCGCCAAGAAAGCCGTGCCCTGCATGCTGTTGTTGCTGCCGCAGCCCTGCAGGGCCTCTCGGCCTCTCGCATCAAAGTCATGATATGACCATCACGGTTTTTTGTTGTTTTTGGTTCATGCTGGACTGACTGCTTGCGTTCACTCTGGCGGGAAACTCGGAAGGCTTGAGACGAATGCGGCGGGCAAGTTGTGAGCCTGACGCAACATTTGCGATCTGTCGTGTCACAGTCGTATGTCTACGCTGCTGGTCGTGTTCCTCGGCGGTGTGATGTCATGTGTGATACGCTCGCCGCCAGGGGGATGCCGCATGTATGCCGCTTCCAGATGCCCAGTTGTACGTACGTGTGTGGTTGTTTTTATTATTAGCATCGACCGCGCTAACCGGCTGACCAACGAAAAAACATCAGTTTAGTGCGGTTGAAAGCACAAACCACTTCTATCTGCCATGAACTGGGACCCTGTGAGGGGGCAGCATGGGGGAGGCTAAACTATCCTTCGGATCAAAGACAGAAACAGGAGCAGCAGTAGAAAACTGCACGCGTCTACCAAGGCTATTACCTAGTACTCGAGTTCGTTTAGGAGTACTTTCACCATTATCCTCCTTGTTTTCGCTACCATCATTCTGATCCTCGTTTCGACAAGAATCTCTGGGTAGTTCTTCTCTAGCCCTACGTTTTTTCTTTTGGGGAAGGTCATCTGACTCAAACCGTTTGCTCTCTTCCACTCCTCCATGTTTTCCTCCTCCATCGTCGTCTTCGTCCTCCTGTCTTCCCTTTCCCTTTCCTTCGTCTCCGTCACTCCCAAAATAATTACCCTCACTACTATTGTTGTCGCAGAGATCCCAACNTACTATCGTTGTCGCAGAGATCCCAACCGATTGGCCCTGGTGGAAGTTGGTCGATCAGTAGCCCATGACGTTTGAACACATCGCGAGTTCGCATGGACAGAAAACGAGCTAGCTCGAAGGTAAACCGTGTCCGAATCCTGTTCGTATGAAAACTTTCAGGCAAACTAAGGCTCTTTCGTTGTCAAAATTCCCCCGGCAAAAAGCTTCGTGCGCCAAGTGGTTGGCGATAGCAACGATGAGTCGATTGGTGCCTTTGCCAAGACCACCATTCGTTGAAAATCCAAAGACTTGGTAGTGTTGACCAAATTCATTTCGGCTGTAGGTAGACGGTGGTTGCTGTTCTACGTCAGGGTTTCCATCTTCACTGGGTTTTCCCGTCTTCCCTGCTTCCAACAGGTAAACTCCTTTGAGGGCGGGGGTTAACTCATCACTTGTGGCAAGGTCGCCCATGACTGCCCACCAGCTTTTTCAAGCTTGTCTTTGGTGATCTCTAGCTTCTTGAGTAAGTCAATCAGAGTCAATCCTGTCGGTAGCTGGGCAAGCCGGGGTAGACATCGCTCAACTATGTATCTTGTCGATGCTTGCACTGACTTGGAGAACGCCAGCGCTTGCCCTGCCACAAAAGCTGATTCTCGAATGAGAACGTTGCTCGTGATTCCTAGTCCTCTTTCACGNCCTGTCGGTAGCTGGGCAAGCCGGGGTAGACATTGCTCAACTGTGTATCCTGTCGATGCTTGCACTGACTTGGAGAACACCAGCGCTTGCCCTGCCACAAAAGCCGATTCTCGAATGAGAACATTGCTCGTGATTCCTAGTCCTCCTTCTCGCATGGGTAGGTGCACCTGCGCCCGAGCTGTCCCTTTGAAGAAATCTACCTCCTCGCTCTTCGTCGGGTCTGCGCGTACCTCTTTGACCGTTGGTATTCTCATGCTGTCGGCCATCTTGCCAAGGACGATCTTACTCATTGCCCACATCATCATGTTGTCATGTTTTCTTGCGGCAGAGTTGGTGATGGCCGGTGCAATCGTCCTCAGCAGATGGAACAAACGTGGCACACCAGATAAACGCAGCAGTTGATAGCTGGCTTGAGGGTCGTCAAGCGTTGCTAGGCGGAGTATCAATTCCGCCGGGTCACCACGGGCGATTTTGGAAACGAAATTCCTCTGGAACTCCTCTGTTCCTACTGGGATCCCGACAACTGGCATG